ACTTTAGGGATCAGCTGAGCCCTCAATCTTAACCACACTTTCTTCATGGTGAGTTCCAGTAAAATCAGCTGGGCTTACTTCCAAGTAATTGTATTTCAGGACATGAGAATCTATAAATATGATTCATTCTGTTCTGCTAATTTTACAAATGATTGGAGTGAACAACTATGTCCTTGTCTGAATATATCTTAAGCTATCATAATGCAGAAGTGAGTTGTTTCCATAGCATAATATGTTTCAAGCACTATGATACCATTTTAAACCGTCATGGCTTCCGCGAAAGAATTATGGGAGCTGCAGTTTGTTAAGAAAAACCCAGTGCTTTTTCTGGGGGTACTCAAGGGTACACAGTACTGGTACCTTTCTCCTGCTCCCAAATGTTAAAAGTGTGGCACCTACTGAAACATCTTCATGGTGAGTACCAGGACCTTTCCTTTTCTTTCTTTCTTTCTTTCTTTCTTTCTTTCTTTCTTTCTTTCTTTCTTTCTTTCTTCTTTCTTTCTTTTTGAAATTCCCAGAATTCTTTGGGGGAAGTTATGACTATTTAAGGGACGCGGGTGGCGTTGTGGGTTAAACCACAGAGCCTAGGACTTGCCGATCAGAAGGTCGATGGTTTGAATCCCCGTGACGGGGTGAGCTCCCGTTGCTCGGTCCCTGCTCCTGCCAACCTAGCAGTTCGAAAGCACGTCAAAGTGCAAGTAGATAAATAGGTACCGCTCCGGCGGAAAGGTAAACGGCGTTTCCGTGCACTGCTGTGGTTCACCAGAAGTAGCTTAGTCATGCTGGCCACATGACCCGGAAGCTGTACGCCGGCTCCCTCGGCCAATAAAGCGAGATGAGCGCCACAGCCCCAGAGTTGGTCACGACTGGACCTAATGGTCAGGGGTCCCTTTACCTTTACTATGCCTATTTAAAGAACTACCAAAGTCCTTAAATGTGGCCCATGTCCTGCTTGTAGGTTTCCCACAAATATCTGTTTGGGCTTTGTCAGAACAGGATGCTGGACTAGATGGGCCATTGGCCTGATCCAGCAAGCTTGCCTTAGGTTCTAATGTTTTCACAGACACCTGGACAGAAATAGAAATCTTTGCAAGATGTGTAAAGCAGCAGATGGCTGCTGCTTCACCTATGGCAGGTGGGAAATTATTGCAGAGTACAGGGGCAACAGGAGAAAATTTCAGGGGCCCTGCCCTATGACATTCTGTAGGATGTGGTGTCACTTCCATATTGTCAGTTGCACAGAAGAAACAGTAATAAAAAGACAAAAAATGTGTGACTCCCCCCCTCTCACCAGTCCATGTTTAACCGGGAGCCAAACAGCCAAACAAATGAGCAGCTGGCTCTTCAGCATGTCAATCATCAAAGAGAGCGGCATGCCAATCAGGCACTGGAAAGAGCATCAACGCAAACGAGATTCTTGTTTTGTTGATCTGCCTTCTGTTACTTTAGCGCTGTGAAGGACTGCTCTGGTTATTTCCTAATCTCCCCCCTTACTTGGTATTGCTAATTAGGTGTCCGCATTCAGCAAGGATGCAGGAAGAAGACATCGCACAGCATGGCAGGCCCAGCTCAGAACAGTGAGCAAGCTGGAGCTGAGTGCTTCTGCAGGGGGCTATGGAGGCTCATTGCTTCATGGTAGGGCACATGCTTTACAAACAATTGGTCCCAGGTTCAATCCTCAGCATCTCCAGAAGATTCAGCCCATTTGCGTTGGGAATATTGAGCTAGATGGATGTATCATCCGAATTAGGTACATAGGGAGCTGCCATATATTATGGGCACATTCAGACAGATGGGGAAAATACTGCGTTAGTTTTCCTGATTATAATGCCATCCTATTTTCTAATGCTCCTGTCACACAGTGGAATTTGTTGTGTTATACAACTGTGGCTTTTTGACTGATACACCAGCATGCCGTGCTGAATTTCACTCACACCAGTGGGCATGATGAGACACAACAACAAACGTATTTGGACAACGTGGCCCCTCCCCCACCCTTTCTGCACATGTGTGTTTCCGTTCCCCCACTGAACAGCACAAAAGAAGTGTATATGCTGGTATGCCACCCCACATTTTGTCACTTTCCTCCCGTAATTTTCAGGGTTAATGGGGCTGCAAATGGATTCAATTTTCCTAGAAGCAAGTAACATGGAAATGAGTGCTAAACAGGCACTATGTTCTGTTCCTTTTCCATAAGTGGCTTTTAGGTTGTGCGGAAGCTCAGATATAATGCGGAAACTAACAGGTAGGGAAACATTGGAGCAATGGAATAAACTGCTGTGTGAGTGCTGCCTGTGTCAGACCATTGGTCCATGGAGCTCAATATTGCCAGCACTGACTGGCAGTGGTTCTCCAGGGTCTTTCTGCCCCCTATCTAGAGACAACAGGGATTGAGCCTAGGGTCTTTCATTTGCAAAGCAGTTGCTCTGCCACTCAGCTCTGCCCCCACCCCCAGTATAAAACAGCTCCCTATCTTCTTCCATTGCCACCTGACTTGATGTTGAAGAGGCTTCCTGGCTAGTGCTTGCTGATCGTTCACAGGCTACCCTCTGCCTTGCACCCCCTAAAGTCCAGCCATTTTATACACGAAGTATAAAGGGATGGAGTTTCTGATTTCTGATGCTCTGCTTATCTGTTTTAGCTTATCTAGAAGCTATGTGATCAGTTCTGAAAAAGCTAGACCAAGTCGGCATTGAGGATCTCAGGGCAGAGGGAGGAATGTGGATGTGACTGCAGTTAGATTGAGAGACAACCCCACTTTGCCTCCCCATTATAAATACATGTCATGTCAAAAAGATTCTCTCCTCCCCGCCCCCAATGTTGTCTTTACTAGTTCTGCATCTTTGGAGCTGGTGCCAAATAATAAATCTGCTTGTTGTTTTGGTTTTGGGAATTTTCTTTAAATAAACATATTGGTTATGTATGTAAATCTTGCTTATTGTTGCTTAAGAAATACTCCCCGGGTGTGAAACATCTGGGACTCACGATCAAGTGACAAACTAATTTGCAAATGCAGTACATTTCACCCCGACTTTTGTATAATTCTTGCATTTGCTTAATTCAGCGGTTATCTATATGGCAATTAGTTATGTATTTTGCTTTTTCGAGTTTCAAGGCATGCAAAATCCATGGCCTGTGTTCTGCTGAGGCCATCAACCTAACCCCCCTGGTCTCCTCTGGGGATTGATTTTGCAAATTAATGGTTAACACTTCAGATAAAGACTGGCATAGTTCTGGTTAATTTATCTGAACTGGTCGCCATGTAATGCAAGGGAAGGATTATATGACCTGTAACGGATAAGCACATAAAAAGAGATGTTAATGCTCTCTCATTTTTATGGACCTTCCCTCTCTAAGATCAGAGATTATTCCTGATCTGCTTCAACTCTTAAATATACAGTGAGTCATTTACATAGTCTCCTGCTTACTGTACAGACTATGGCATTAAGGATAGGCGAATCTGTCAATTTCTTACTCTCGGCTTTTCAGTCTTTATTCCATTTCTCCACATGTCCACATCAGTTCGTGATTTATTTATTTTACAAAAAAGGTACTGGTGGACGTTCATCAGAATTTTGGGGCAGATTTCTCCCAATATTCATATGTTACTATGCGATTCTGCCTAATATACATATTTCCTCTGACAGGATGCAACTTTGAACGCCCTTTTCACTACCATATGCGTTCTTATGCACACTTCACCATGGTATGTGTGCATTTTTGTACACATTGCTTGGCTGGAGAACTACACCGTAAAATCTGGAGAAGTGCGGATTCCAAAGGAAGGCTGTGTTTTGGAAAATGTGAACTAGATACAGGAAATGCACTGCCACAGCATCCCTGGTAAGGGGCTATACAGCTTCTGCTTAAAAACCTCTAATGAAGGAAAGTCGACCACCTTCTGGACTACTGTGTTCCACCATCAAAATCTTCCCCCTCTTGACTCTTATACCTTAAGCCACACATATTATACCTTCTCTCGCTTCAGTGCACCATCCTTTCCTTTCCCCCAAAGTGGTTTAACAACCTATCTCTCTTCCAAGAGAACTTTGGGAATTGTAGGTCTGTGAGGGGAGTCTCATCAAAACTATCAGCTCTGTTAATGAACTACAGCTCCCAGAAGTCCTTGGGGAAAGCCATGGCTGCTTAAACTTGTATGGTACTGTTTTAAATGTATAGTGCAGATGATGCCAAAGTTATATTAGAATAGCACAACAATTTACTTCAACGTAAATAACTTTGTTGTTGTTTAGTCATGCCCGACTCTTCATGACCCCATGGACCCGAGCATGCCAGGCACTCCTGTATTCCACTGCCTCCCACAGTTTGGTCAAACTCATGCTGGTAGCTTCGAGAACACTGTCCAACCATCTCGTCCTCTGTCGTCCCCTTTTCCTTGTGCCCTCAATCTTTCCCAACATCAGGGTCTTTTCCAGGGAGTCTTCTCTTCTCATGATGTGGCCAAAGTATTGGAGCCTCAGCTTCAGGATCTGTCCTTCCAGTGAGCACTCAGGGCTGATTTCCTTAAGAATGGGTAGGTTTGATCTTCTTGCAGTCCATGCAAGAAGAGTCTCAAGAGTCTCCTCCAGCACCATAATTCAAAAGCATAAATTCTTCAGCAATCAGCCTTTTTTATGGTCCAGCTCTCACTTCCATACATCACTACGGGGAAAACCACAGCTTTAACTATACGGACCTTTGTTGGCAAGGTGATGCCTCTGCTTTTTAAGATGCTGTCTAGGTTTGTCATCTCTTTTCTCCCAAGAAGCAGGCGTCTTTTAATTTTAATTTTAATAATTTTAAACCCTTTCAAATAAAAATTAAAGAGTTTTCTGGATTTGCTGGATTCCCTAGAGCCTATGGGCCCTTATGGTTACCACTTATTAACCACAGAAATATAGGAATCTGCCTTATGCTATGAGTTCATCTAGCTCAGTTTGGTCAACACTGCCTGGCAGTGGCACCCAGGTTTTCAGACAGGAGACATTCCTAGCCCTACCAGGTCATGCCAAGGCTTGAACCTGGGACCTTCTTCATGCAAAGCAGCTGCCTTACCGCTGAGCTATGTCCCATCCCCTATGAGCCATACAGACTCTCAGGTGTGTTATCTCCACCTCCAGACTCCCCGCATAAGGTGAACCTCACCATGCTCTGTGGATGGCTGCATGTGACAGATACATCACATATGTTACTGCATGATTGATCTGACCTTGACCCTTTGCATTTGTGTTGTCACAGCTCCACGAGAAGGGATACAATGAAATGAATGACGACAGCAAAAGCATCTGGAAACGCTAAGTGCCACACAGCAATCAACATATCACTTATGGCAATTATGCTGGGATGGTCTACGGCAAGGTCAGGTGATATAATTCACAGATGCTGATGTCTCAGAGTGATGATGGGAACGGCCGCCTCATCCCCTTAGGCTGCCATGGAGATATCTGTGCAGATGTCTGCCCTAGAAATGGCACACACTCATGCGAGGGGAAGTTGTCAAAGCCCAGGGGGGTACCAGCCATTTACAGAACAGAGAGAGGGCATATGTCCTGTGGTGGTGCCATCTCTTTGAGCAATGTTGTAAGTGACACCACAGAGAGAGTGGAATGTGAAGGCAGTTTGTGAGGCAGACAACTGTTCAATCAGCTGTTCTTGACAGCCTAACCTAGCCCAGCCTTGCCATCTCAGCTGTGAAAACCGGGGCTGATTTAACCATTCTTTGTCTTGTTACGTGATTTTCAATTACAACAATGGGTATTATAAGCTTGTTCTTGCACTGCTAAGCCAACCAACCCTGCTTCACACCCAACAGCAGTTCTCACACCATCAGACATCTGCTCCCAACACCGCTCTCCATTGAACTGAACTAGCTAGCCTCTGTCTTGCTCCCAACATTTTAACTCCCAGAGCCAGTGTGGTGTAGTGGTTAAGAGCAGTAGATTTGTAATCTGGTGAACCGGGTTCGTGTCTCCGCTCCTCCACATGCAGCTGCTGGGTGACCTTGGGCCTCAGTCTCACAGTCTCTCAGCCTCACTCACCTCACAGAGTGTTTGTTGTGGGGGAGGACGGGAAAGGAGAGTGTTAGCCGCTTTGAGACTCCTTAGGGTAGTGATAAAGCGGGATATCAAATTCAAACTCTTCTTCTTCTTTCAAATGCTCATCTAATCTCCACTCACTGCCAACATTCCAGGCTCCCCACCTCTTCATGTTACCTGAATTATTCTAATATAAATACCTACACATTTACCTTTATTACACACACACACACACACACACACACACACACACACACCAGAGCCTCACTGGGTGACTTTGGGCCAGGGACTCTCTCTTATCTTTCTCTTACTTACAGTGGGGTGGTTGTTGTGAAGATTTTTGTGAAGAAATGGCATCATTCAGTACTTTGCTACACCCAAAGGGGGGGGAGACACACACACACAAACACGACTGAAGAAATAAGTATAGCAAACAATTAGGTTTGAATGCCTTTTTAAATTTTAGACAATTTATTTGATTGCTATGTGCGTGTTTGTTAAAAGAACTTAATGGGGCAACACAACAACACTAGAAACAGCCCATTAGGGATTGATCCATCTTCACCATGTATTTTTATTTTTAAACATAAGTTTATCACAAGCAGCAATTGGACAGCTCCCTCTGAAGGCAGCAGTAGCAAATTATGACTGCAGTTTAACTGTTGGGGGTAGCACTGCCCTCTGATCACCACACAGAATCCTGGGGGTTGTAGTTCTCAGCATTTCCTGGTCTTATAGATAGATAGATAGATGGACAGACAGACAGACAGACAGATAGTTTCTGCATCATGCTTGTATTGTTCCAGTTACACAGGACCTAATATCTGATCATTATTACCTCTACCTAGATATTGCTATTGCTAGATCTTGCTTAATCAGGCAGTCAGTTAAGTGGAACATATTGCATGTGTATGTCAGGTTCTCTCTCTCTCTGTGTGTCTCTCTCTCTCTCACACACACACAATTATGCACTTTTATAACACTTCCCCCTAATGTATATAAATTTGTACATACTACTTGTCTAGAGAATTACAATGCAACATTAGGATAAGAGCAAATTTCAGAGGCTGGCTGCATTTTGGTTTGTGTATTGTTTCTGAAAGTGTGAATTAGGGCACTTTAATCTATAATTGTGAGCTGAATCAAATTTCTCCCCAATTCCTACTCTAGGCTCCCTGTAAAGAGCCGTTTTAGATCCTGATCATTCTTCATTCTCTAGCTGAACTGTTTAATATGAACCAGGGGTTGAGCTAACTCAGATCCAAAACTTGCTAGTAACCAAAAATATCATATTCCTTATGGCAGGAACATGATCTCTGAAAGCTCACTGAAATGCTACCAGAAGGAAGACCTCCTACCACAGAATGAATATTTACAAACAATAATAAGCACCACCAACTTTATGTCTGGTGGCTTGCCTCACATCTGATTAGCAGGTGGGCAGAGGGCACCATACTCCTGCCGTTTCTGGGGTCTGACCCAATCGGTCAGGCTTCGTTGGAATGATGTAGCGTTAGCCCTGCACAAAGAGTGAAATGCTGCAATAGCAGTAACTGAGCAGTAAGTGTGAAGGAAGAGAGGGAGAATGCAAAAGGCATACAAAAGAGGTGATTGACTGGGGGCCACTAAGAAAAAGGGCTGCAGTTACATTCCCTGATAACGCTGCTTTCAGCAACAGATTGTTAAACCAGAAAGAAACTTGCTTGGGAGCAAGAGTTTACTGCTAGGTGTGAAGCAGTGGCACACTTCTCCCCACATATGAGCAGCCAATCTGCACTTCTGGAGAGAGAGAGAGAGAGAGAGAGAGAGAGAGAGAGAGAGAGAGAGGATGGTAATAATAGTGATGGTGGTGGTCCTCTTTCAGAGAATCTGTTATTTCTTATTTTTTCTTTCTTTCTTTTAAACCATGAAATCACTTTTGCAAACACAGAATCACTTTGTTTCATATACATAGAATGTTATGTACTAACTATAAACTATTGGCTTTCTGGCACGCTCATAAATATTTTTTATTTTGTCAGGCATTTGGCGTTGACTGGCTCTTTCCTTGGCTCTGGTTCATGATGTATTTTTTTATAATTATTTGATTTTCATTGCAATTAATGGTAACTTAATCTCTAAGCTGCTTTGAAGGTAAACAGGCAGAAAAGCAGCCTAGGAATTTTAAAATAAAAGGGGGTTGTGTCTGGCAAAGTCATATTAAGAGCAGACCCATTGAAAATAATGGGCTTCCATTAGTTGTTTCCACTGGTTTCAGTGGATCTATTTTAGGTATGATTTAGTCAGCTATGAAAATCCATAGGCTACTTTTCTGTCCACTGGCCTTCAGAGCAATGTAGAGATTTAGAAACTGTTCAGTACTAATACATGATACAAAGAAAAACTTGGAAGCAGAGAACAATGGAAAGGAAACAAAGGGCTAACTCTCGCTTAGCCATAAGGAGACTAATGAGTATAATGTGTCTACTATTAGTATGACTTTAAGCATATTTAAAGCATGTGGCTTCCCCCAAAGAATCCTGGGAGCTGTAGTTCATTAAGGGTGCTGGAACTGTAGCTCTGTGAAGGGTCAACTACAGGACCCAGTATTCTTTGGGAGATCCCCTGTGTTTTAAATATATAGCGTGGATTTGACCTTATAGCACAATCCTTGCTCAGAAGTAAGGAGGAGGGGGAGATTTGATTCAGTACAGACTTAAAGGTGAACCTGCTAGATCCACATTCCCCAAAACAATGCACAAACTGAAATGCAGCCATCCTTCAAAAGCCATACTCCTCTGAATTTTGCAATGAGGTTCTCCAGCCAGGTAACATGGACAGAAATGCATATACTAACAGGAAAATGCATATACTAGGGGAAGCACGCATAGAAGCATATATGTGTGCATTATATTAGGGGGAAGTGCTTGGGAAAATGTATTAGTCAAAATATGTTTATTTTGAGAAATCTGCACTAATATGCTGACAAGTTTTCATGAGGATTAAAAAGAATGGCAGTGGTTGCAGAAATGTGGAGAACTGAATTTAAGATTAGGACAGGCATAGGCAAACTCGGCCCTCCAGGTGTTTTGGGACTACAGCTCGCATCATCCCTAGCTACCAGGACCAGTGGTCAGGGATGATGGGAGTTGTAGTCCCAAAACATCTGGAGAGCCGAGTTTGCCTATGCCTGGATTAGGAGAATTAGAAATGAGCAGATTTCTTTCATCCCTACTCAGAAGTAAGTCTTATTGTTTTCAGTGGAGGCTTACTCTCAGATAAGTGGGGTTAGCATTGCCGGGTTAGTTGTATACCATACAAAGTATTTTAGGATAGAATTTTATGCACAAACACTTTCCCCTTTTTAATAAGTTAACTTCAGATCCATTTTACTGTATTGCTGCCTTTGTTTTCATTTTAAATGAAAGGTAAGTACGGGGGGGGGGAGAGATGAAGCTTGAGAGATGCTCTCAACATATGCTTCCTTCTTACACAGAGGTCAGTACCCAAGTTTAATTGCTGTAGTTGCCCAAATATGAGATGAGTTCCACTGTATATGCCAGTCTATTTAGATAGTACCATAAACCATTTTCACATGTGTGGCTTAAATTGCCTTTGAGCCTCTCTGGTGCTATTTATGTTCATACCTGATGACTGCTAATGCAGAAAAGAAAAAATGGAGATGAGATATCCGTAATACGACTGGGGGATTGTGGGCAGTGCAGGTTTAGTACAGCAATTGTGAGAAGTAATGGCACTACTCTGCTTTGGTCAGACCTGAAGCACTTTGTCTAGTTCTTGGCACTGTACCTGAAGCCCAGAATCTGTCCTTGTCCTTCTCACCTGGAAAGGCCAAGGGCAACGAGTTACTGTATGTGTAAAAAGCCCTTAACGGCTTGAGACCACTTTACCTGCAGGATTGCCTTACCCTTAATATGCCCACTCAGCCACTTCACCATTACATGTGCCACGTGATGCTCATTTCATGCTTGTAAGAAACCAATCTTTTAGCAGCGTAGCATTTACACTTTGGAACTCCCTGTGTCTTGACACCAGGTAGGGCCTTTCCCTGTACGTTTTTCAGAGCCTCCTAAAAATATCTTAGTTTAGGCAAGCCTGTCCTGACATGCAGAATTCTGTATTTTAATCTCTTTTTGCTTCCTGTTGATTTTAATTATCTTTTGAATGCTTTTAAAATGCCTGCTGTTTTTACCTGTCTTTTGTTTGTAACGTTAATGTTTTACTTTTTTCACAATCTACTTAGAGGTTTTGTTGCAATCAAGAAGCATGTAAATTTTGTGAAATAATGAATAAGGCCCCGAACTTATTCATTATTACATTTATATCCCACCATTTGTCCAAAGAACTCAAGGTGGTGTTTTACCCTCACAACAACCCCGTAAGGTAGGTTAGGCTTAGAGACAGTGACTGGTTTCATGGCTGAGCAGGGATTTGAACCCTGGTCTCCCAAGTCCTAATCCAGCACTTGAACCACTATGCCACCCCAGCTCGACACTGCAACCCTGGAAACCTCTATATCTGACCCATAGGACTTTCCCCACCTCACGCTCCTCCCCAGCCATGCCCATTCTCCCCAGGCCATGACCCTAAGTGGCTCTGCTCTGCACTTCCCTTGAGTGTTTTTGCCTAGCTGGAAGGTGCTGTCAAACTCTGATCATGCCTTTTCCTAGCTGGATGAAGGATAGAGAGGAGTTTGTGAGCATGTGCGGAAACTAGCGTACTGTACAAAGGTAAAATTTACATGTCTTGTTCCACCCACTTCTGCCTCTGGCCTCACCCACCACCACACCCATGTGGCCCCTGGAAGGTTGCTGCCTTTGCAGCAGGGCTCATTTTGCGTTCTTAAGTGCAAAACCTGGTTCCATCTCTGGTCCATCTTTTTCTCTCTCTCTCCTGCAGCTGACTGCAGGGACTTTGGTTTAGCGAACAACTGCCCTCCTCCTCTGCCCCCAACCTGGTCCACGCCTGTCTCCCAAGTATGGCCACCCACAGCTTGGTTCAAAAGTGAAACTGATTCACTAGATACCAATAGAAAACAGAAGCAAAACAAACAAAAATTTGTGCCTATTAACAAATGGAAGATGCTGTAGAAACGCCATTTGCTGTGCTTTGCCCTTCTCAAAAATTAAAACCTATTTCTTTTATTTCCCACCCGCACCCTGGCTCTGAACAGAAATCAAGCAATTCCAAGGAACTTGCTCTGAGAATCTTAAACAGCCTACTTGAGAAAGATGGTGTTTTGTTGTCATCCCCCTTCAGTTTAGAAAGATTAGAAAGTGATAGCTGTGTCAAGTCCTCTTAAAAATAATATGCTTTCATCCTATGTCTTAATGTAACACTATCTTACATAGCAGATGTTTGGGGAATGCTTTCTCCACTTATGCAACAACCGAGGCATACCAATGCTGGGAACGCAGTTTACCTTTTGGAACTGACAAGTGTCAGGCAGAGAAGAAGAAGAAAAAGAAAACAATGAAAAAGTGGGGGGAGGACTCAGCGAGCAGGTCTGTAATCGACATCACAGAGATATATGTTGGAAACAGGTTGAAAATGCACCTCCTAAAGGGAGAAGGGTAAGGAATAGAGGGGAGAATAACACAAGACACGGAAAGCAAATGTATATAAATAGTAAGCATGGAGTTGAACGATGATCTTTAGCGCAGGCAGATCCCAGGAGCGGTGGGAAAGCCTGCAATTTCTTATGGGATGCAGTGATAAAGAAATTACATACTTATTTGAGAGGAACATAAATAAAGATTAATAGGTTAATGAGTTATTTTCCTTTCATTACTACACCATTGTACTTTATTATAATTGCTTTGCACTCATTTAATTAAATTTGAACTGAGGCCAACACAAGATAATTTGTTTTCCCTGTACTAAACAATGAGTATGCAGATTGAAAGTACCGGAGCCATAATCAGCCCTCTGTTTCGCAACACTTTTCTACTCGGAGTAGACATTATAATTGATAATTTGATTGTTGCGGCACTCTGCACAATATATTTTAAAGCAACATTAACATAATGGAAATTATGTCGTGTGCCTAATCTGTGCTGTTCATTGTGCAACTGTATGAATGAATCCCCTGTTGGAATGAATGAGGGCTGGAACTAACACAGGTACACCTACCTGTATCAGGGTACAGGTACATTTGTTTAAAATGTTTCGATCCCACCGTTCCAATGCTTGACTGGCTTCCTGCAAAGATAACGTGGGACAATAAATAAATAACCTGTACGAAACAGGAAAAAGAACCTCACCACATTCAACACAGCCAGCAGGAGCAAGGTTTCATTAAAACTCAAACACCCATTTAACTAGGTTCTTTTTGCACCCTCTGTGGAAGGATAGACGGAACAATTCAGACTACCACTGGGGAGGTTGCTCCATAGCCTAAGTGCTTGGAACTACAGTAATATAAAACCCTTGCTTCTAGAAGTGGCTCACCAGGTAAGGAAGAGCCACTACCCGACCTTCTCAGCAGGTGGGCCTCTGCTGCCATGGAGGTTGGACTTTAAGGGCAAATGGGGCACAGCCCCACCAGCCTCAGACCTCACTACTATACAAAGCCTTGCTGAAAGAAAGCCGTCCGTTGGCACATAAATATGGAGCAGGCACCAATGGAAGCTTGTTGGCAAATATGGTTTGCCATTGCCATTTTGTTTTCATAGCAAACTTTGTTTAAGGCCCGTCAACTAATAGACAGGGTCCCAGTCTAAGAAAAAATAAAATAATATGGGATCCTTGCAGCTTTAGCTAGATGCTTTTTAGTGGAATGGTTTAAGCAGGTTCAAATCAATTGGTGACCTTGGCTGAGACACCACCTCTCACTCCTCTTTCTGTGAAATGCACAGTTAAACTACGGAACTGGCTCCCACAGGAAGCAGTGATGGCCACCAACTTGGATGGCTGTAAAAGAGGATTGGACAAATTCACAGAGGAGGAAGTTGTCAACAGCTACTAGCCCTGATGGCTGTTGTTCTGCCTCCACTGCCAGAGACAATAATAATTTTGAATACTAGTTGCTGGAAGTCGCTGGCAGGGAACAGAAAGTTCCCTTGTGTTTGGGTCCTGCTAATGGGTTTCCCACAGGCATCAGGTTGGCTGTGAGATGAGGATGCTGGACTAGGTGGGCCTTTGAGCTGACCAGCAGGACTTTTCCTATGTTCTACCTCACGGAGTTGTTGTTGTAAGGATAACATGGGAAGGGTAAGAGCTATGTATGCAAACCTTGAGTTCCTTGGAGGAAAATATGTGATGAGATGAAGAAAAGATGAGATGTAACAACAACAACAACAACAACAACAACAACAACAACAACAGGACAAATAAGGTTTTGAAATAGGGGGTTCTAGCACCGGGATCCATATATTTAATGTGCTGTATGTGCTGGACAACTAATCTACTGACCAAGCATTCATCCATCCATCCATCCATCCATCCATCCATCCATTATAACCTGCTTTCCCCCTCCACAAAGGAGTTGACCAAAGCAGCTTGCAAGTATAAAAACAAGCAGCGATCCCCACATTAAAACACACACTTAAAATGCAAATTTTCTGATGCCCTAAAGAAATATCTAATTTAGCATGCTTATTTTGTTTTTGTTCAGCTAACAAACTTTGAAACAGCCAAGTTTGCCTAAATACTGCATTTGCAATTAACAACATTAATTGCTACTAATTCATTTATGAAATGTGGGGGTGGGGGGGAGGGGATTCTGTGGAAAAATACAGCACTGGAAAGTTGTCGAGCTGCTGAGTCCATCCTGGCTCCTCAGCCTGTGAACCTGCATTCCAGGTCTGGGTTAAGGTGTGGTGCACTTGAATCAAAATGGTCCTGATGCTAGCTGTGAAAATGGGGGTGTTTCCTACCAGCAAGTAAATCTGAGGCAGCTGTGAACACCATATTAGATTGTGTAGCTCAGTGGCAGAGCATGTCCCTTATAGCTCAGTGGCGAATCACCTGCCTTTCATGCATAAGGTTGCAGGTTCGATTCCTAGTATTTCCAGGCAGAACTTGGAAAGAATCGTATCAGAAGCCCTGACTTGGAAAGAATCGTATCTGAAGCTGTCAATTATGAGCCAGGTGGACCAATGACTTGACTTAGTGTAAGGCAACATACTATATTCCTATGCTGGGAAAAATTCAGAGACCTCTGTTGGCTTCAGCACTCCCAATTGTATCTGCATCACACTGGTACAGACTTAGGTGCCTAAAAGACAATGTGTTCTGCACCAACCTTGCTGTTAGTATAAAATGGGGATGGTGGAATCCAGATATTCTTTTCTTTACCCAGGTGATGAATGTTTAGGACATTTTTGGTAGACTGCAGATGTCCTACTTAATATCTAGTATTAATAGCTTTTTAGCATTCAATATGGATTCTGATATGATAGCTGTACTTAACCCCCTCTGCAAAGAACAATCATATGGCTGCATTGGCAATAGCCTCTATTTAAGAATAGACAGGAGGCATATTCGAAACACTGTAGGCCTGTAATCTCGACTTCAGCAATGGAGAAGCTACAGTAAACATTAATCACAGAGAAAATTGAGCAACAGCAGGAAAGTCCTGCTTAGAGCTAAATCAAAGAAAAATAAAACAGGTCCTTCAAAGCTAAACAACCAGTGGTGGTTAAAGCAAAGAGATGAGGGGAGGCTGGGGATGGCTGAGGATACAGGGTAAAACCATTAGTGTTGCTCTTAATGAGATAATAAACCAAACACTCCTGAGCACAGAAGCACCAAATAGGAAGGTTTCAGCACAACATGACTTTATTCTGTCAGTGCACACAAGACCGTCATGAGGTTTTGGTTACCTTATTATGGAGAAGATCTAGTACAAACAGGAAGGGTGCAATGAAAGGTCCAGCTAGCGGTGGCTGGGGCAAAAAGATCTTGCTTATTTATGAAGGTTACAGAAACCAGGTCTGTGTTCTTTAGAAAAGGGGAAATTAAGAAGGCGCGTCTCGGGGTTGGAGAGAACACTGAAGGGAATTGAGAAGATAAATGTTACAAGGCTGGTTGAGCTACTCTGCAATAAAGAACAAAGGATCATGACCTAAAGGGGACCTGGGAAATATATAGAAGAGGAGGAAATATGGAGCAACGCCATGGAAGGTAACACGATGGAGTCCAGAAAACTTAAGTGCTTCACTTGAGAAATGGAACATTCACACATTCTGAAAATAATGGGAAACAAAATATTCACATGCATAATTATGGATTAGCCTGTTATCCTGCTTTTTTTAAAATAGATTAAATTGTTATCCTCCATATATTAAAATATACAGTATGACCAAATAAAATGCACATTTAGATACATACCAGGAAGTGTACTACGTTTAACTGCAATAAATTAATAAAGAGAACTGCATGTATGTACAGGGGTTACCTTCGTTTCCTAGGTCTCAAAATCACCTCCATCACAGCTCACTTGACTTTGCTTAGACATGCCTTTTTCATGCAAATTCTCCAATCTTG